CCAGGACTTTCTGACTGTTCGTTCACTAATGGACTTTCGTCTTGATACAGAACTTGAGATTTGCGTGCACATTCATTTTACAGATCTGGCCTATCAGGAAACAGATTGTTGGTTCCTTGCCTCTTATGCAGACCCAGACTTAGAAGGAAACACTCCTAATTAGTCGTCTCCTACAATTTGCGTGTTGGGAGGGTGGGCTCCTTATTCTTTGTTCTCTAAACTGGAGCCCTGAAACTCAGATAGGAAAGCTTAGCTTCAAACAACATCTCCAGAAAGCATCGCTTTAACCTGACTGCTGTTACCCTTTCCAAATAAATATATGGACAGGAGAAAGTGGGTGGGGGGTGTGTGTGTGTGTTTGTGGAGACGTGGAGACAAGCAAATCAGTTTTGCCTGTGGGAACAGATACCAACCCTTTTCATTCTGCATTCCCATCAAGTACACATACACATACCAAAATTAAAAACAAATGTATGAATTTATACATGTTCATATTTGTGTTTTGTGATGTGTCTGATTGATGTTTGCTGCAGAAGATATAGCTAGTCCACTTTGTTGCCTGCTGAGATATTCTGGTCAAGCAAAATTGTTCTTTTCTTTACTGTGATTTCATCCCTTTTTTCAGGACACTCTAAGTTTTCAGACACTCATTCTGATTTCTCGTTTACCGCTACAGTTGTTAAAAAGCTTTCTAAAATTAACATCCATGTATTTATTTCATAAATGTAGCCGCCAATTTCTAGAACTCTGTGTGACAGTAAAAGTGACGAGCTGGGGAACTGATTACCCCACCGTACCACATTGTGGCCCAGGATCATCCGTGAAAGCCCAACAGCAGACATCCTATCAGCAGTATCTGCCACAGACCTGCCTTTATTGTGATCTAATTTTGTTCAGCCTTCTATGCCCTAATGGAGCACAAGCCCTTAACCAACTCATGCCAAGTTGTTCTATCTTCTGTTATTGCATGCCTTGTGTCCTCTTTATCCTGACTCTCTAGTTCCCCTTTTCATGTGTTTTTGGTCTACCTTTACTTTCTATGTCCTTGTGGGTTCCAGTGCAATGATATTCTAGTTATAATGTTCACACAATTTCCCAAGGTGTGAGTTTTAATGTTACAGACGGAACACCCAGCTCAACAGCAACGTCAAAGCTGACTGAACATGATCAAAACAGTATTGAAAAAACGAGCAGCATGCACCAAAACAAGATCAATAATTTATTATGTAGCAGGTTCTGAACGCTGTCAACATACCCCAGGATGAGTTAATTATGTAGCAGGTTCTAAACGCTGTCAACATACCCCAGGATGAGTTAATTATGTAGCAGGTTCTGAACGCTGTCAACATACCCCAGGATGAGTTAATTATGTAGCAGGTTCTGAACGCTGTCAACATACCCCAGGATGAGTTAATTATGTAGCTGGTTCTGAACCCTGTCATCATAACCCAGGATGAGTTAATTATGTAGCAGGTTCTGAACGCTGTCAACATACCCCAGGATGAGTTAATTATGTAGCAGGTTCTGAACCCTGTCATCATAACCCAGGATGAGTTAATTATGTAGCAGGTTCCTAACCCTGTCAACACAACCCAGGATGAGTTAATTATCTATAAGAAGGCACTGAGTTACAACAGGTATGCAAGAAAACAACGCAAACAAATCGCAGGTGTTCATATAAAAAAACACAGCTGTGTCCATGTACTTCACACAACTTCCATGGCAACATTCAACAAGGGTGAACAGGGCAGAGATGGAAGCCACTAGAAACCTGCATCAAGCATGAGACCTGCGCCACATAGGAGACGTGGTGATCTGGACACAACAGTTAATACACGCCCAGGCAAACAATTTTCTATGACTTCATCATTCCACAGCAAATGAAAAAGTGACAGAGAACTATGGAAGTTCATCTGAAATAGTAAGCAACTAATTGCAATATGAGTAAACAATATTTTACTACACAAAACTGACTAACTGCCATCACTGCCAGTATTTATCATTTTTGGCGTGTTGGCGTCTTTTCGCTTCTGGATTAAGTGCTGCAGGGTTTGTCTATAAACTGTGTAGGTCGGGATTCTATTTGTGCCCTGACAGAAAAACCCATATAACCTTACGAAGGTTTCAAGCCAGGGTCTTTTGCGTCAGAGACAACGTTCTTACCCATTTGGCCAGCTTTACAACTATTGTTATATGGCTCTTACCTCATTTCTTATATTAAAATAATAAATTATTTGTCACATAGATACATCACTTATATTAAACTACTATAGCATTTATCAAATGGATATATCAACTAACATATCTATTTTTAAAATAAAGTATTGTGAGTTAAACACACCACTTTAACTCAAATACCACTAAATAAAACACGTCACTTATGTCAATTAAACTCCTGTTATGTGTCTGACACATGACACTTTAAACTAACAAACTGTCTGTTAAACATGACACTCAACTGATACACCACTTTGGTAAACCCCTACCACTAGTAAACTTATAAAGACACAGGAGTGGTTTTCTATATGGACAAGCATTCAGGAAGCTATTAAAGTAAATCACCCCAAGGTAGAACAGGATCGACTAAGTAAGTAAGAATAAAGTAAAAAGGTTTTGCAGCAGACATCTAGAAAAAAAACCCATCATCTTTTAATTCATCTCATTTTATGCTCATTTCCCTCATTTTATGTTCATCGTTTCCCTCAGATATTTATTTTCAAATGTATTCAACTTTCATTCCATGTCTTTTGTTGTTCCAAAACTTTCCAAAGCTTAGGTAGGTTATACAGTTGAAGAGGCAACTCTGTACAAAAAGAGTTAATGATGGCAGCCAACTACTTTTGTCATCCTAGTTACAAGAGATCTTGTGCTTTACTAGATGATGTAGACTGTCATGTCTCTCAGCTGATCCTTGGTACAGTGTCCTGGGTTAGATCTAGTCAAGAGATTCTTCCATGCCACCGTCTTAGATCACACAGAACATCTCTCGGTCAGATTCTATGGCTAGGAAGCCGCAGTAACCTACTAGATAGTTACTCGTCGTCTGCCCCGAAGGTCTTTAGGTTTGGATCCATATCATAGCGAATATTTTACAAACATGTATCCAGGTTCCCAGGCCAACTCACCTAAATAGGTATCAGTCAGCTCCCAGGTCAACCCACCTAAATAGGTATCAGTCAGCTCCCAGGTCGACCCACCTAAATAGGTATCAGTCAGCTCCCAGGTCGACCCACCTAAATAGGTATCAGTCGGCTCCCATGTCCACACACCTAAATAGGTATCAGTCGGCTCCCAGGTCCACACACCTAAATAGGTATCAGGTGCCACCCAGGTCGACCCACCTAAATATATATCAGTCGGCTCCCAAGTCCACACACCTAAATAGGTATCAGGTGCCACCCAGGTCGACCCACCTAAAGAGATATCAGTCGGCTCCCAAGTCGACCCACCTAAATAGGGATCTATCAGCTTCCAGGGTGGCCCAGTCTATAAGGGCATCAGGCAATATCCTGGAAAGTAAAGGTCATTGTGATGCATAACGCATCACCTACAGACTGCTGACTTGCCTACAACTGGAGTCTGGCGTCCTATTACCAATGCACCACATGTGTAACAAATGCCCTTTATATTTTAAACTGATTTTAGCTTCTACCGCCGTTATATCCAGTCCTGAAAACATATTCTCCAATGCCTCTTCTCTCATTACACAACCAAGAAACAGCGTTTTTCATATACCTACATATCATGTTCTACTTTCATTTGCTTTTTTTTTTTTCAGGCCCTCTGGTGGTTGGTTACTGACCTATGTATTCACATTTTAATAAAATTTAGAAATGTATAGATTAACGGATCAAATGTTTTAGAAAATAAGACAAACAGAACAAAATGTTTATTCTAAAAAATTATGTTTAAGATAATGGACAAGAGAATAAAGTATTCTGGAGAATTACAGACAAGTAGAACAAAATGTTCTAAAAAATTCGGGAAAAAGTAGAAAAAATGTTTTTCTACAGAATTACAGACAATTAGAAACAATTTTTCTAGAAAATTAACCTGAAGCAGAACAAAACGTCTTTGGTGTTAACAGTTCAGCACAGAATAGAGATGAATTAATAATAATGAAATTCATTAGAAAAAGGACTGAATAAAACACACAAAAAGAACAAGAATAGTGAAAAGTGTGGGCCCCTTTAGGAAGTCAGCATACAATATACAAGCAACAGAGCCGGCAGGCTAAGGCAGCTTGTCCAGACATACAGGCAGCTGATCAAGACATAAAAGGATCCTTCTCCACACCTTCAGGCGCATTGGGCACATACGGCTAGACCTATATTTTAAAAATCAATCGGCACCCGGAGGGTTATATGGTCAACATCACACCAGCCGACCGGAGGGTTATATGGTCAAAATCACACCAGCCACCTCTACCCCTGCAGACTTGACCTTGTACCCATTTAAAGCTGGATCAACCAGGCAGCCAAGGTCATTTCTCCGTTGGACCTGAACCCATGACATGACCAGGGAAAAAACTACTGGCAGCAAGTGAAGCCAAAGATGGAGCAGTTCAGCTCAAACAGGCAACTATGTTACTCTGCACCACTAACATACAACCTGTGGGAAACAACAGGCAGATTTGTAATCCGTTTGCAACATGTACAGGAATGTCCCACGTGCCCTGAAATCTATTTTTGATTCATTCATGCAAGCTATAAGAAACATTCATTAAATTACACACACTGTGAGATCTAGTTGGGAAAAAACAAAGGTAACATATTTATGAAACTGCAAAATAGTCCACTCCTGTTTTCATTCCATTCTGTTGGGAAAATGTAGACAGGCTGTGGTTCATTGTAGTCTCATTTGATTTATCTTGAAGAGAGCTGCCTTTCAAGTCAATTTTTTAAAAGCCTACGGGTTCCCAAGAAATGGTCAGGACACGCAGCTACATTTGATCAGGGCACTTGTGTTACAGTCAGATGTTTGGGACCACTGGCGACATTTTAAATATCCACATGATGAACTGTGTGTGTAGGCTGAGGTGCTGGACCTTCCGTGTAGGTTGGGGTGCTGGACCTTCCATGTAGGTTGGGGTCCTGGACCTTCCATGTAGGTTGGGGTGCTGGACCTTCCATGTAGGTTGGGGTGCTGGACCTTCCATGTAGGTTGGGGTGCTGGACCTTCCATGTAGGCTGAGGTGCTGCACCTTCCATGTAGGCTGAGGTGGTGGACCTTCCGTGTAGGTTGGGGTGTTGGACCTTCCGTGTTGAGATGCTGGACCTTCCATGTAGGTTGGGGTGCTGGACCTTCCGTGTAGGCTGAGGTGCTGGACCTTCCGTGTAGGCTGAGGTGCTGGACCTTCCGTGTAGGCTGAGGTGCTGGACCTTCCGTGTAGGTTGGGGTGCTGGACCTTCCGTGTAGGCTGATGTGCTGGACCTTCCGTGTAGGCTGAGGTGCTGGACCTTCCGTGTAGGTTGGAGTGCTAGACCTTCCGTGTAGGTTGGGGTGCTGGACCTTCCATGTAGGTTGGGGTGCTGGACCTTCCATGTAGGTTGGGGTGCTGGACCTTCCGTGTAGGTTGGGGTGCTGGACCTTCCGTGTAGGTTGGGGTGCTGGACCTTCCGTGTAGGTTAGGTTGGGGTGCTGGACCTTCCGTGTAGGTTGGGGTGCTGGACCTTCCGTGTAGGTTAGGTTGGGGTGCTGGACCTTCCGTGTAGGTTAGGTTGGGGTGCTGGACCTTCCGTGTAGGTTGGGTTGCTGGACCTTCCGTGTAGGTTGGGGTGCTGGACCTTCCGTGTAGGTTGGGGTGCTGGACCTTCTGTGTAGGTTGGGGTGCTGGACCTTCCGTGTAGGTTGGGGTGCTGGACCTTCCATGTAGGTTGGGGTGCTGGACCTTCCGTGTAGGTTGGGGTGCTGGACCTTACATGTTGAGATGCTGGACCTTCCATGTAGGTTGGGGTGTTGGACCTTCCGTGTTGAGATGCTGGACCTTCCATGTAGGTTGGGGTGTTGGACCTTCCGTGTTGAGATGCTGGACCTTCCATGTAGGTTGGGGTGTTGGACCTTCCGTGTAGGTTGGGGTGTTGGACCTTCCGTGTAGGTTGGGGTGCTGGACCGTCCATGTAGGTTGGGGTGCTGGACCTTCCATGTAGGTTGGGGTGCTGGACCTTCCGTGTAGGTTGGGGTGCTGGACCTTCCGTGTAGGTTGGGGTGCTGGACCTTCCGTGTAGGTTGGGGTGCTGGACCTTCCGTGTAGGTTGGGGTGCTGGACCTTCCGTGTAGGTTGGGGTGCTGGACCTTCCATGTAGGTTGGGGTGCTGGACCTTCCATGTAGGTTGGGGTGCTGGACCTTTCCGTGTAGGTTGGGGTGCTGGACCTTCCGTGTAGGTTGGGGTGCTGGACCTTTCATGTAGGCTGGGGTGCTGGACCTTCCATGTAGGTTGGGGTGCTGGACCTTCCGTGTAGGTTGTGGTGCTGGACCTTCCGTGTAGGTTGGGGTGCTGGACCTTCCATGTAGGTTGGGGTGCTGGACCTTCCGCACCGTCTTGTAAGTCTTGGGCTGCTATCTCCATCCAGTTGAAGATACACAGCCGGTGTGATGTTGATCACATCGTCCCTCTAGCTTTGACTTATCTACAAAAATATGCGAGTGAATCTAAAAAGGGCATGGTAGACTGGGCATTTATCGTCTAGGGCATGGTAGACTGGGCGTATCTCGTCTAGGGCGTGGGAGACAGGGTGTATCGTCTAGGGCGTAGTAGACTGGGCGTATATTGTCTAGGGCAAAGTAGACTGGGCGTATCTCATCTAGGGCGTGGTAGACTGGGCGTATCTCATCTAGGGAGTGGTAAACTGGGCATATCCCATCTAGGGCGTGGTAGACTGGGCGTATCTCATCTAGGGCGTGGTAGACTGGGGTTATCTCGTCTAGTGCATGGTAGAATGGGTGTATCTCGTCTAGTGCGTGGTAGACTAGGTGACTATCATTAGATACCTGAAGCCCAACTGGCATAAAATGAATCTTTACGTAGATTTATGGCCGTAAATTTCCACAGAAAAGGATGGACACTGTCACAGGTAAGACATTTAATTCCTACAAATTTTCATACAAATCAAAATTTGTAAACTAAAAAAAATGTGTCGAACATCTTTTCATAATCGTCCAGTGAATTTACCAGTTACAGCCTGCTCATTATGCTACTGGTTCTATCTTTGAGAAAATGCCCCCCCCCCCCTCCCAAAAAAATGCTATAGAACAGTGTTGAAAACTTGAATGTAAGCATGCCGCTCCCACAAAAAACATCAACCATTAAAACACAAAACTCCAAGAATTGCTGCCATAGTAATGAAGTCACAAACAAGAAATGGTCAACTGTTACCAACACACAATCAGAGTGTCATGAACTAATTTTCAACTTGCTATAAAATATACAAAAGATGATAACTGCCAATGGTGTGAGCTCTCTCTTCAAATGTTCAAGTCAATGGTGCTGATATGATGCAGAACCAAAAGTTCACAATGAGCATTATCAGATGAAAGATGCACAACAAAATATGTATAGAACAAGCTACATGTAACTGAATGTAATAAAATGAGTTTGGAGGGTGAGGGGATGTCATTGGAGGAGAGATCCCTCATCTATAAATAAAAGGAAAATTACCAGTTGCGTTACACGCAACTAATTGAAACATCCTTGTCCCTTCTACCATTGGGCACAGGGCTGAAGTCATCCTGTATGTTCTCAGCACATGCCCTTATGTATGTCTCTGCAGATGCGAAGTGCCAGTAGCAATTCCCACCCACCACATAGGTCTCTGAGCTAAAGACGGCAACAAAAGCTCGGCAGCAGAGTCACTATAGAGACGGCACATTTGAACCACTTGTATCTTGATGCTAACAGCCCTCCGCAGGCAAACTACCCATCAATGCATCTGACTTCATGCAACTCTTCATGGGCCAGCCAACTTTGTTGCCAATTACAATTTGTTACGTCATGAACATCTAACAAAACACTTGAAATGTGTAACTAACATTGAAGGTTAAAATGGAGGGGATCAACTTCAATGCACTGTATTATATCCAACAAGGCTGAGCTTCTCTCTGCAGAACAGCCAGCCTTTGGTCAAAAGCATCACATAAAGCACGAACACCGTAGATCTAGCAATGATCCCAAGGGTTATCCGTAAAAACTGCACCGATGAACCGAACCGCTCAGATGTGAAAGGAACCGACGACCTTCAAAGCGCAAAGCAAGCAGCTTGACCACTTGCAGTCATGCCAGGACATGAGTTGAGTTAAGAAATTGATATCACAGCACTCGAGGCATTCTTATATGTGCTCCATCCCCATCTTCAGCAGCCAGCGCAGAGTTCCAACACTAATGGTGCCGGCTGTATGTCCATCTTGCCTTTTCTCCGACCGTAGTCTGCCACTCGAACCCTCTACTTACAACCACGTGGATCATTCTCACCCGCCCGTAATAATAATCCAGTTTCTATTCTGACTTGAAAACTTGTTCCTACAGGTCCTTGAACACCTGCCCTGTCATGTATCAATTCGCCATTCAGCGGCGCAGATCCAACAAATCTATCTGCCTGTTCATCCCCCACCACGCCGGCATAACCTGGAGAAAAGATCTAAAGTGTGCTCACTACCCGTGGCCTTCCGAGTGAGGTTTGCCACTCTGCTGGAAGCAATCCTGCAATGTTCCTCAGCTCAGCATTCTTTCAATCTGTTACAATTACGACATATGTATGCAACTTGTTCTCTAGCCACGGGAAAGCTGCAGTGACCGCCTCCACCTCCATTCTCATGCTAGATGTTGTGGCATTAGGACACGAGAAAAACCCAAATATGTAACAACTAGGTACAAAAAATAGAGATGACAGATGAGATAGTAGCCAGTCTTACTTCATGGCATGGAAAAAGACAACAGCACAGAAACTTACAAAATTAATAAGAAATGAGGGTTGTGGTGGGACATGATCATCCATGCCAGTCGGCAAGGCACTTGAAGACAAACATGTCAGGAGGAATACCGTTATCTATTCGTCTGCACGCCTGGTCAAGGAATTGTTGTTAGAAAATCAAATTGTAGCAAACTCAATGGAATTATCTGTAACCAATTTATGGGAGGAAACAAGATAGTATTGGCACCCAATACCAGAAGCTTCCGAGCGATTTTAACCAAGCAACGATTTATATTCTTTCATAATTACCAAAGGCCTCACGATCATTCTTTCATGTGGACTGTGCTATCAATGCTATCGCGCCAAGTAGTTGTTTCATAATATGAACACTGCAAAAAGGTCTCCTAGATCACAGGCTACTTAATCAGGACCAATACTGGACAGGTTAACAAGTACAGTGCAGACCTGATAAGAAGAACTCACCAGGGACCCAAGAAATAGTTCTTCTTAACAGAAATTGCTCTTATCCTGACAAGAATTCAAGTTAAAAAAAAATTGCTGTGATCATCTTAACTGTTCAAGTCCCAGAGGGGTTTAGTATCAGAGGCCCAATGGGTAGTGAATTAACCCATCCTGCGTTCACTAGGCTTCTGGGTAGGAACCTATAAACGTATGATGCTCTCCTGAAAAGTAAAAGAGTTAAGTGGTCTGCACTGTACATGACCCAGATCTTAACTTCAAGTGTCTACTTCATGACTGTGCATTGTAGTTTTTTCCTTCAAAAATCATCATCTCATATCCCTTTTCAATATTCTACTTCTTATGCGACCTTGTCTACGCATTTAAACTGACAACTACAAATCTGATTTCTGACTTTAGTAACCTAGATTTTTCTCTGTAGTATCATCCAACCCTAACAGCAATAAGCTTTGAATGATAGTTTTCCAATAAACTACTAACTGATCAGTAGAATGATACTGGAGATGAAACCCTTCACGACCCAATATAACTGAGTGAAAGGGTAACTATGTAAGTGTGGGGGGAAAATGTCAAACAATGTACTTTCCTCCCTGCAAGGATCCTACAGCTGATGGGTACAAACTTCCCATACCATCCTAGAGGGTCTCCCCCCCCCCCCCAATCACCAGACCAACACCAGTAGCGGTCCAAACTTCTTGAGCAAAAAAAAAATATAGATTACCTTCAAAACAAGAAAAGGAAATCAATGCACACAAGGTATATGCCACGTGGGTTTAAAAAAACTCATAAAAATGGAAACACTTATTCAGTCTCTTCTCCGCAACCCTGCAGCATAGAGCTCTTTTATTTCTCTGGCATCATTCTAAAACTAGATTTGCTGAAAAACATTCCAGTTAGAACCAAAGGAGAACCGAACTAGAAATATAAATTTGTTTTACCAGTCCGCCAAAGATTTTATAATATGCAACTCAAAACTGGCATTCAAAATCACTGAGACAGGTTCAACAAATTATCCAGAGTGGCGAACACACACAAACGTAACCAGGCTGTTAACTGTCTTCCAAAACTCCAGATTACAGACAAAGACTCCAGAATAAATCACATCTGTATCTGCTCTTGCTCACCAAGTTCCCCCCTCCCAATTGTTAAATGCTAAAAGATGTCATCCAACTTGTGTGGAAATTATGTTTGAAACAAAAAAGATGCTGCATATATCACAATGTTTCTTGTGTCTCGCTTTCAGCGTGTTCATAGTAAGTACCACTCAGCAAGCCATTGGCAAAATGGGTTCCCAGCTTCAAGCGCAACAAACTGTGTCGTCTTGGGTTTCCAAATTCATTCTGTTGACGAACACGATTCAGCTGCAAAATAATTAGTAAAATGTAGACCTAAGAATTATGGAAGTGTATACAATCATTACAGATGAAACAGTTAGGTGGTTAGTGTACATCATATGATCATTACAGATGAAACAGTTAGGTGGTTAGTGTACATCATATGATCATTACAGATGAAACAGTTAGGTGGTTAGTGTACATCATATGATCATTACAGATGAAACAGTTAGGTAGTTAGTGTACATCATATGATCATTACAGATGAAACAGTTAGGTGGTTAGTGTACATCATATGATCATTACAGATGAAAGTTAGGTGGTTAGTGTACATCATATGATCATTACAGATGAAACAGTTAGGTGGTTAGTGTACATCATATGATCATTACAGATGAAACAGTTAGGTGGTTAGTGTACATCATCTCAAGATATAGATGTCTTGTGCCTGTTAGCATCATGGCTGCGACACTTGTGTCTTTCAGCTGACACGTTCAACTTCTGCAGGAATCTGATGCCTAGGTTAGCCTTCCTGGTTAGTTTTGTGGGACTGTGCAGTCTCAATGTTGTGTAGTTATATTTGCTTTCTATGTCACAGGTGGTGCTGCCATAGGGCCGCTGCAGAGAAGAAAGGCAATGCTGGCCAGCCCTCAAGAAAAGACAGGAGCAGAACATGAACATCCCCCGCCATTCATCACAGGCTCTGCCTTTCCAAGCCAGCACGTAGACCCTGGAACATTGATCACCTTAGCAGATGAATAATTCTGTTTCTTTTGCATGTTGTGTGGGTTCACAGTCTTTATTTTGTGGGAAAAGGAGCAGAACGACAGCCCCACTCCTAACAAGCACACCATAAAATAAAAAGCATCAAATTAAGGGTCTGCAGAAATCTGATATGCTGGGACAAAAGGCACAGATATTGCTGACTTCATGTGTTACTACAGCACATCACGCCAGCCTTTTACAGTTAATCTGTTCTTTCGGGTGCATCTCTACACAAACAAAATTTAAAGTACCCAACGTGAAGTCTGTTATGTCCAGTAATAATCTACATATAATGGTGTGTTTTGTCTGTCTCATATAAAGAAATACAGTACACAACGCTGAAGGCGATTTCGGTTGTTGCAAACAATTTTTTTTATCCCAAGCAACATTTCTAGCTTGAACTCTTATCTGGATAAGAGGAATTTCTGATAAAAAGAACATTTTATGGGGTCCCTGGTGAGTTCCCGGAAGCATAAATATTTTGGTCATATCAAGCGCCACGATGGACTGGACAAATTATCGCAAAAGGCATGGTACCAGGAAGGAGGGGCAGAGGCCGACCAACATGAAGATGGGCACAGGATATAAGTGACTCCTGGAGTATGAAAGTACATGAGGCGAGAGAACTGGTGAGAGAACGAGTTTCTTTCAGGCAGACTGTGATGAGAGTGACATTCTGCAAAGGGCCTGCTACATGATGATGATGATGATGGTGAGTTCTTATCATGTCTGCACTGTATATAATAGACGGCGGACCACAAAAACAATGTGCCTGTCAGGACGTACCATGTGGTGAAACTCCCTCACATCATCCTCCGTAATCACATACTCAGTCTGGTCCTCTTCTGACCACCCCATGGACTCCAAAAGCCTGCAGAATAAACAGCAACGTGTCTGAAAATTCGCATTTACTGAAAATAATGCTGGCACAACAGACAAGTAGCATTTTTAAGGCAAAGAGACTGGCATTGATATATTAACAATGCAGTCAGAATATAAAGGGGTATTCGAGGCTAGGGATTTCCTCAAAGTGCACTCATAACCCAAACGACACATCCGGAGAAGGATGACAACACAGGAATAAGCAAAACATAACTCACCTTTTCTCCTCCTCCTCCCCAGATAAGCAAATATGGTCGACATGTTTATCCAAAGAGTCAGTCGTGACACTGCCGTCTCCACCATCCAATGATCTGTTAAGATTACTGTCAACCCTGTTGTTCCCATTCATCATGGTCTCGTAGGAACTGTTGTTCCTGTGTGTTTCATTGCTCCCATTCATGTGGCTGTACGTGACATCTTCATTCATCAGACTTTCCTCCGTTTCTTTCCGTACCTGGTTTGGGCAGAAAAAGATGTACACAAAGATGAGGTTTAAATCACCATTGATCAATGGCATCAAGGGAGCTAACAGACAAATGGTTAGGGCATATTGAGAACATGTCTGAGTAGACATATAAAATCTTTACAAAGGGGAGCTAACAGACTGAAATGGTTAGGGCATACTGAGAACATGTCTGAGTAGACATATAAAATCTGTACAAAGGGGAGCTAACAGACTGAAATGGTTAGGGCATACTGAGAACATGTCTGAGTAGACATATAAAATCTGTACAAAGGGGAGCTAACAGACTGAAATGGTTAGGGCATACTGAGAACATGTCTGAGTAGACATATAAAATCTTTACAAAGGGGAGCTAACAGACTGAAATGGTTAGGGCATACTGAGAACATGTCTGAGTAGACATATAAAATCTGTACAAAGGGGAGCTAACAGACTGAAATGGTTAGGGCATACTGAGAACATGTCTGAGTAGACATATAAAATCTGTACAAAGGGGAGCTAACAGACTGAAATGGTTAGGGCATACTGAGAACATGTCTGAGTAGACATATAAAATCTTTACAAAGGGGAGCTAACAGACTGAAATGGTTAGGGCATACTGAGAACATGTCTGAGTAGACATATAAAATCTGTACAAAGGGGAGCTAACAGACTGAAATGGTTAGGACATACTGAGAACATGTCTGAGTAGACATATAAAATCTGTACAAAGGGGAGCTAACAGACTGAAATGGTTAGGGCATACTGAGAACATGTCTGAGTAGACATATAAAATCTGTACAAAGGGGAGCTAACAGACTGAAATGGTTAGGGCATACTGAGAACATGTCTGAGTAGACATATAAAATCTGTACAAAGGGGAGCTAACAGACTGAAATGGTTAGGACATACTGAGAACATGTCTGAGTAGACATATAAAATCTGTACAAAGGGGAGCTAACAGACTGAAATGGTTAGGACATACTGAGAACATGTCTGAGTAGACATATAAAATCTGTACAAAGGGGAGCTAACAGACTGAAATGGTTAGGGCATACTGAGAACATGTCTGAGTAGACATATAAAATCTGTACAAAGGGGAGCTAACAGACTGAAATGGTTAGGGCATACTGAGAACATGTCTGAGTAGACATATAAAATCTTTACAAAGGGGAGCTAACAGACAGAAATGGTTAGGGCATACTGAGAACATGTCTGAGTAGACATAAAATCTGTACAAAGGGGAGCTAACAGACAGAAATGGTTAGGGCATACTGAGAACATGTCTGAGTAGACATATAAAATCTGTACAAAGGGGAGCTAACAGACAGAAATGGTTAGGGCATACTGAGAACATGTCTGAGTAGACATATAAAATCTGTACAAAGGGGAGCTAACAGACAGAAATGGTTAGGGCATACTGAGAACATGTCTGAGTAGACATATAAAATCTGTACAAAGGGGAGCTAACAGACAGAAATGGTTAGGGCATACTGAGAACATGTCTGAGTAGACATATAAAATCTGTACAAAGGGGAGCTAACAGACAGAAATGGTTAGGGCATACTGAGAACATGTCTGAGTAGACATATAAAATCTGTACAAAGGGGAGCTAACAGACAGAAATGGTTAGGGCATACTGAGAACATGTCTGAGTAGACATATAAAATCTGTACAAAGGGGAGCTAACAGACAGAAATGGTTAGGGCGTACTGAGAACATGTCTGAGTAGACATATAAAATCTGTACAAAGGGGAGCTAACAGACAGAAATGGTTAGGGCGTACTGAGAACATGTCTGAGTAGACATAAAATCTGTACAAAAGGGAGCTGAATGGTTGTAGACCATGAGACAGACTAAGATCATGGAGAGACTATCCAGGCAGACCTGCAAACACTTGGAGTAAATAACGAAATAGAAGGTCAGTCACAGAGATGAAAGGTGGCAGGTGATATCTGTGGCAGCAAACCTCAAGAGCTGGGCAAGCTTAACATCCTTAACAATATCCAGGTTACAATTTTCTGAGTATCTTGTGAAATTATCAAAAAGCTGTGTGGAAATCATGAGCCAGCAAAATGTCGGTACCTGTCAGAGAGTCTAACAGCTAGTGACCAATTCTAATGTACTCTCACACCCAAGGTATCTCCAGTTTATCACTAATATCCTGCTGTACATCTCTTCGGCACACACACCTTCCCAGTTTATCACTAACATCCTGCTGTACATCTATCAGGCACACACACCTCCGCAGTTTATCACTAACATCCTCCTGTACATCTATTCGGCACACACACCTCCCCAGTTTATCACTAACATCCTGCTGTACATCTATCAGACACACACACCTTCCAAGTTATCACTAACATCCTGCTGTACATCTATCAGACACACACACCTTCCAAGTTATCACTAACATCCTGCTGTACATCTATTTGGCACACACACCTCCCCAGTTTATCACTAACATCCTGCTGTACATCTATCAGGCACACAAACCTCCCCAGTTTATCACTAACATCCTGCTGTACATCTATCAGACACACACACCTTCCAAGTTATCACTAACATCCTGATGTACATCTATTTGGCACACACACCTCCCCAGTTTATCACTAACATCCTCCTGTACATCTATCAGACACACACACCTTCCCAGTTTATCACTAACATCCTCCTGTACATCTATCAGACACACACATCTCCCCAGTTTATCACTAACATCCTGCTGTACAGCTATCAGGCACACACACCTTCCCAGTTTATCACTAACATCCTGCTGTACATCTATCAGACACACACACCTCCCCAGTTTATCACTAACATCCTGCTGTACATCTATCAGACACACACACCTTCCCAGTTTATCACTAACATCCTGCTGTACAGCTATTCGGCACACACATCTTCCCAGTTTATCACTAACATCCTGCTGTACATCTATTTGGCACACACACCTTCCCAGTTTATCACTAACATCCTGCTGTACAGCTATCAGACACACACCTTCCAAGTTATCACTAACATCCTGCTGTACAGCTATTCGGCACACACACCTCCCCAGTTTATCACTAACATGCTGCTGTACATCTATCAGACACACACATCTCCCCAGTTTATCACTAACATGCTGCTGTACATCTATCAGACACACACATCTCCCCAGTTTATCACTAACATCCTGCTGTACATCTATTTGGCACACACACCTCCACAGTTTATCACTAACATCCTGCTGTACATCTATCAGACACACACATCTCCCCAGTTTATCACTAACATCCTGCTGTACATCTATTTGGCACACACACCTTCCCAGTTTATCACTAACATCCTGCTGTACAGCTATTCGGCACACACATCTTCCCAGTTTATCACTAACATCCTGCTGTACATCTATTTGGCACACACACCTTCCCAGTTTATCACTAACATCCTGCTGTACAGCTATCAGACACACACCTTCCAAGTTTATCACTAACATCCTGCTGTACATCTATCAGACACACACATCTCCCCAGTTTATCACTAACATCCTGCTGTACAGCTATTCGGCACACACACCTCCCCAGTTTATCACTAACATCTTGCTGTACAGATATTCGGCACACACACCTCCCCAGTTTACCACTCAGACTAAGGACTGGGCACAACAGATTTCGTCAACATATGTTCAAATTTTTCGGTGTAGGAAATACGGAGACGTGTCCCTGCAGCGTGGCACCCGAAAATGCTGAGCATGTGCTCCAACACTGTCAACTGTATGCTGACAACAGAGACGCAATCTTGCCTGTTCCAACCACAATGAAGACAAAGTTGTATGGTAAACGAGAGGATATGGATTGCACGATAGCTTTCATAAAGGCTACCGGCCTCCTGATATAAGTTTTCTGACAGAAGGGTCGAAGAAGCAGAAGAAGACTAACATCCTGCTGCACAGCTATTCGGCACACACGCCTCCCTAGTCTATCCCATGCAATGGTCTCCATATCAAGAATGGATTATATCTTTGCATTCACCGGCAGCAAACTTTGGCGGAAAGTTCTGGGTGTTTCCCTGAGTGTTGCATGCGCATCCTTGTCACAGACCTGGCCTACTTGTATGCAGACTCTAGGTTACTTGCCTCTCAGCCAGATGTACAGACCTGGCCTACTTGTATGCAGACTCTAGGTTACTTGCCTCTCAGTCAGATGTACAGACCTGGCCTACTTGTATGCAGACTCTAGGTTACTTGACTCTCAGCCAGATGTACAGACCTGGCCTACTTGTATGCAGACTCTAGGTTACTTGCCTCTCAGCCAGATGTACAGACCTGGCCTACTTGTATGCAGACTCTAGGTTACTTGCCTCTCAGCCAGATGTACAGACCTGGCCTACTTGTATGCAGACTCTAGGTTACTTGCCTCTCAGCCAGATGTACAGACCTGGCCTACTTGTATGCAGGCTCTAGGTTACTTGCCTCTCAGCCAGATGTACAGACCTGGCCTACTTGTATGCAGGCTCTAGGTTACTTGCCTCTCAGCCAGATGTACTCTCACTCTAAAGAATGCCTACAATGACATTAACACAACTAGTAAAAGACAGGAGACTACATCGGACTCCTCTCTGCGATGCTTTAGGACATGAGTAGTGGGATAAAAGACAGGAACTACATTTAACTCCTTAGGTCTTGGTCAGATATGACTGAGCTACCGTAGAACAGTAGCCTGTACCACCTGTCTTCTGTTACGCCGAATGTTGGGCGGCGTATACTAACCCAACATCCCATATTGTGCCAACGGCTTCATAGGAAGAGGAAATGCAACCTGAAAACTTTATGTTAGGACAGACCAGGCCCTTCGCCTTGGCTGGCAGCTGGTCTCGGAGGGAAGCTCTGACAGGCGGACAGATAGAGCACTGCTCTTCTGATCTGGCAGCTTCTGCAACCTGCCTCATTCTAAACGTACTGGTTTTACCTTTCCTTTGGGGTAAACAAGGCAGGTCAGGTGAGGGATCCTTATGCATGGACAACATATGGTCTCTACAATACTGCCCAGGCTTTTGTGCTATGGAGAGGCTGGACCCGAAATCCCATGCTATCATTGTGGAAGACTCATAGCGCAATATAACACAATCGTCTGGAAAGATGCCAATGATGATGACATTTAACTCCTCTCTTGCAAACTTTATGGCATAAGCAGTAGAAGAAGAAAAGAATAAAGAGCGTCTGCTTACCTGTTTCTTCTCTATTGAGTTTTGATTGAGATCTTGATAAGCTTCTCCGTTTCGCTGATTGCTTTCATGGCGTAAGGCTCTTAGGAATTCACTTTTTTTGTCCCCCAACTTCTTAGGCTGGGTCACAATCGTCAAATCTGGTGTAGGGCTCTGCCGTGTTCCCTAAACATAACAATCACAGGTTAGTTTCAAATGTTCATTCCTTTAATAATATAATCTCTGTGTGTGGTGAGAGAGCGAGAGTGAGTGAGTGAGTGAGAGAGAGAGAGAGAGAGAGAGAGAGAGAGAGAGAGAGAGAGAGAGAGAGAGAGAGAGAGAGAGAGAGAGAGAGAGCGAGCGAGAGAGAGAGATTATTTAGCACATTCATTCACTGTTCTGTTGTGATAATATATGGTCAACTCGTCTCTTCAGTTCTGTCATTTGCAATCACATGGACGAAATCTGGTCCAGCGCCTTCAGCTTCATCAAAGTTTGCCTTGGGGTGCATCTTATACACCCGTTTCCTCAATCACAATGCAATGTACTGGACTGGAATCGTTTCCTGCAAGTTTATGTGGCAAATATTTTTTCTAGGGCGAGAAAACTGGCCCCAAGCCCAGCCCTCTTCCTTTTTCATCCCGGCTTGGAAATGGCAACGGTGGATTTAGACTGCAAGGTATAAAACATTTATTATTTTGAGCATACAGCATACGTGTAACATTTCATGTAAAAACAAATCAAAATGTCTGCAAATATATGCACAGAACACAAACAAAACTACCCAGGTCTACAGAGCTGGTCTAGACACAAATCAATTACCTCTTTGTGGTTTGACTTGTTGGAAGGACTTAGGCCAGATGAATCTTTGATGCTGCCATTCGTTCGACCTGATTCACGCCCATTCTTTTTCATCTGCCCATTCTGCAACAAATATATACTATTTTTCTTATTATACAAGCTGCAGTCTGCCAGTTCGTTTTTGTAAAGTTTGGCATTCGTAGAATAGATTACACACAAAATTTATGTCATTTGTGAAATTTAGCTTTGAAAAGTTAATCCTAAAGGCACCAACCCATGCACTTTTTAAGATAAAATAAAGTTTAAAAGTCAGTTTTCTCACATCTCTATATTTCTGTTTGTTGTGTGTGTGAAATCCTAAAATCTCAGCTAACATAAAGACTAGAAAAATTAAATTTAGTATGGAGACTCCTTAAACAATATTATAGGAACTGGTCTTTTCGTAAGCAGATTTTAGAAAGTTTTGTTAAAATTCTATTATTGTCTTATGAAGCAAGATTTTTTTTACTTTTTCAATAAACTTACATTTTAAAATGCTACAAAAAATAATTTAAAAACATGTTTAAAGTAAATCAACTACACCTGTACCTCTAAATAGGATGAAAGGTCATGAATCTATCATCTATTGTTTAATACGTATGTTTGGTTTTGAAATTTTAGGATTCTAAGTTTATGTTGTTTTTTCCCACAGGATGGTGGCTATTGCCATGACAACCAAGATTTTTTCACACTTAAAGTATGCAAATGTAATAACATGTATCCCTTTAAATGACCATTATAAAATAACTGCTCCAACTCTGTACATAAAAAAAAATATATTTTAAATTTGGCGGAGTGAAAAAACCAAGAGGTGAAGAAAGTCGTTTCAGGGCCTTGTGTTGAAGCCACGAGTGCTGACAATCACAGCTACTGAAAACTATGTGGACGCCCCTAGCTGAGGTGCCGTCCACAGCATTGACAGTCTTCCTGGGAAGGCCAAACACCGTCTTCCTGGGAAGGCCAAACACCATCCTCCTGGGAAGGCTAAACACCGTCTTCCTGGGAAGGCTAAACACAGTCTTCCTGGGAAGGCTAAACACCGTCTTCCTGGGAAGGCTAAACACCATCCTCCTGGGAAGGCTAAACCCGGGTAACATATCCCAGCCATGCTGTAAACAAACATAGCTCATCTACAGTCTTCAGATTAATGCAGAAGAAAAAGAATGCAAAGACCCAGTCCTCTGTTGTTTGTATGATCTTACAGCAGTCATCCACTAGTCTAGATGATTATGTGTCTCCGCATCTTGTGAACTCTAAATTCATGCATCATTTTCTGTGCTGACATCTTTCTATGCCTTGACACACAAAAACTGTCAAGAATCTTGTCCTAATCTTTGTATCTATCCACATGGAACAAATAAACCATGCAGAAACTCACCTTATTAGGTACTAGAGCTTTATACATTCCTGCAGCAGAGCTTTTCACTGTGTCTGGTGACTCTTCATTTCGACTCGACTTTGGGGGGTTGTCTGGCAATGACCAAATTTAAATATAGTAAATTTACGCAGCATAATAAACTGATCTCTACACCTATGACACACACGCAGGCAACCATTAGTCCCTGGGGACCACTGAGTTCTGCTGTTGGTTTTCAAAGCAGCGTCTGCTACGATTCAAAGCAGCGTCTGCTATGATTCAAAGCAGCGTCTGCTATGATTGTCCAATACAGGAGTTGCAGTCTCTGCCATGGTCCACATAAAAAACGTAAATATTTGATCATTCTAAGGCTGGTTTCTTCTCCAATGACTTCTCCCTATAGCTTGCTGCATCTGGCCTCTTTCAAACTGTGACAATCCATCTTTCACTGTCTGCCTCTAAAGGAGTCACTTTCAGGTCACGTTTGCATACGTCCTTTTAGAATGTGACTGTCCTCTGTGCGAATGATATACAGTACATACACATATTAATGAACTCAAAACAGAGCACAAATATTCTTCAAGGAAGAATAAGTACAGGCCAAGTATCAATATCATTAAGTGTGTTGCTAGCTGGCACTGGTGTTAACAAACTACACTGCAGGATCCCATCACACACACAAAAGTATAATTTCACTGGCTGGTAATACTCCATAGGAATCTTCTAGAGCATCTGTCAGTTTCCCCAGCTGCTGCAAAACATTCTAGCCTTGCACTTTTTACTTGACCAAAATACATGGCAACTGTTATTTTTTTTTATTATTCTTATAAGCCATCTCTGTACCATAGTTTATTCCAAAAAGCTGACGGTAAAGTACTTACAAAATTCAATATCTTACAACATGACAAACAGCAATTCAAATAATTGTGGTCAATGTGGGTGAAAAGAGAGGCAATAAATAATAATATAACAATCTTACACAACTATCTGGTAAAAATGGTTATACAGCGGCCTGGTAAAACAACTAACTGACCTTTGAGGTATGTGATTAGACGACATCCCGCTATCAAAACAGAAACAAAGAAAAGGAAAAAACCTCACCCCAAACACCAGAAACCGGCTTTGTCTGCTTTAACTCTGGTGTACCTTCTCCCGAACCTCTCAGCATTGGCTGAAATAAAAGGGTGATATGATAAAAGTCAATATGAATGTCTGAAAATTGTCAAGCAAAACCTATTGCCCAAACAAACAAATTATGATTGATAAGGAAACATGAAAGAGTTAACAATGTTTACATCACTAAAACTTAATCAGCTGGTCGGAACAGAGGAAGCTATAGCTATCAAACCCACAAATTAACATATAAAAAGACGGAATTAAATTTTCAAAAAGATAAAGCAAAAACAAACTGAGCTGAGTCAAGAAGCGACACTGTAGAACCCTGGACATCCCAATATGTGCCCCATCATCTTCAGCAGTCAAAGAAGTTGTCCAATTCTAATGTTAACAGTAGCAGTTCGGTCATGGCCACTGAGTTTACCACATGTATCGACTCAACACCTTAAATAAATTTGGTTGGCACATTTTGTTTCGGGGGACAGCCCTCATCTCTAGATAGTTTGCATGCGGTCATTCACTAACAAGACTGTCTAAAATATAACAGACCAGCACGATCAAAAGTGTGAGAACTGTGCGACGAATACCTGCTGCACTCGTAGCCTGTCATGTCTCAAATCAACATCTAGTGTCTTAGGTTACACTCAAAATATATTCTACTCGCCCTCCGCATTTACTGACTGTAAACTTTGGCTTATGTTCGTTCCCCCACTTCACTTATGGACAGGTCTTCTTCTAGAAATTGAGTTTTGCATGCAGATCCATTTTACAGATTTGGCACATCTGTGTGCAGACTGCTGGTCTCTAGCCTTCAAGGCAGATGCACCCGAAGGAGACACCCCTAATTAGATGCCGTTTACAGAATGCTTACTGGGTGGGGGGGGGGGGGGGACGACGGGAGAAGCAGTCTTTTGAAGGGTATATTCTTGTTTTACCCGCAGTGGGGACCAGAGACCACACAGGTGAAAAGACATTTAAATGCAAAAAATACAAATAAAAGAATAACAACCATGCTATTATACATTTACACTTTGCATTCAACCGAAATTGTAGCCAATTGCTTTAAATATTAAAATGAGTCTTCAAAAAATATATATGTACATGGTCAGATTGGTATGTTTTGGTGACAAATTACAACATACAGAGACAAAGATAAAGTCGACTAGGACACATGCAAACATAAATAAAAGTCACTTACAAAATCTTCACTGAACGGCCTGTCCCGATCACCAGTTCTGTCCTTGGTCTTGCCTTCAACATCTCTGCCATCTTTATGCTGCTCCTTCTCATAGTAGCCCCGTTTGGTTTGACCCTGGTGGTAGTAAGGTTTATACAGGTCGTAATGGGGACTAAACTTACAACTGTTCATCTGGCAACAAGAAGAGCCCAGGTTATATCGTTCACCATGAAGTCAGAATCACAACTGATTACCTGAACCAGTCACCATAAAAACATTTGCAAACTACCCCTGTAGCACTAACAACAGTCCACTTGTGTGTAGGTGTTACACATGCATGCCACAAAATATTAGAGGTTCCAGAAATCAAGTATGTAATAGTCAAAACCGCTGGTAGCTGCAAGTAGGACAATAACAATGGATAATCCAGCATTGTGTAGACAAAAAGAGCATGTTGTAAACATGAAATTGTCGGAGTGATCATGTAGCTATCTTGAGCTTAAAAGTCGAGAGATGTACAGTAAAACTAGAGAAGACTGAATTGAATGATTGTCTACTTCAGTGGAAAGAATTCAATTTTTCTGCTACATTATATACTCATGTAGCTCTTAGTAGGTAATACTTCAGGTAATGAATTATGCAATGCTCCCATTATTTAAACACACTACAGAAAACGTTTTAAATACAATATATTACACTGCATGTGTAGGATTTCTATTGAGAAATGTAGCTAGTACAACATCCTGTGTGACTTGCTCTTTGATAACCATTTATAGATGGAAGTCTAACTTATTTAACGTAACTATTAGCCTTTTGTTTTTTCACCTCTAAAAATGAAGAAGGCTCTAAAAATGATCATGTGTCCCTCGGCGCACATTCAAAAACAGGCTGTAGACTGGCGCTTACTCTGATAAGGCAGGTATGGTGAAAAGAAAACAACACACAGAATAATGAGTGGAGAAGATGCTTGGATCAGTAGACTGAAAATCAGATTGTACCTAAGAACAATCAGTATGAGAACTCAATGTGACTACCCAAGAAGGGGACTTGGCACATCTGGCAAGGCAATTTGTGATTCCTCCCTTTGTAGTCACAGATCTATCAAAGAAATGTTAGACAAAACAAATTTATTTATATTTGGTACAAGAGACATTTAAAAAAACGCTGCTTCTAAAGTGCCAGATCAAACCATACGATGCTGGCACTTATGGACATCCGCAAATCGTGCACAGTGCAGCGATTGACACTGAAAGTGTTCAAAGGTGACAAGTGTAAGCACATCAATCTTAAGGTATGATTACCTGAGGAAAGCGCCCGGGTGCATACTTGACATCACGACTACCAGGTCGGACCAGAGATGGCTGGGAGCTGTACTGCATACCATACTTCTCATAATTATAGTTGGGGGGGTAGTAGCCATAGCCTCCGTAGGGGCAGTTGTAGTAATCATCATCTACTGAATGGTGTCGGTACTTGCCTTGATTCTGTGGGTAGCGTTTTGCTGTCAAAATAACATGCAAATATTATTTATCATGCTTACTTATAACCCTTTTCTCTGCATGTAATTTCTCTTTTTTTCCCTGTCAAGTGGGTTCCACGAGAAAAAATACCTATACTTCTCCGTTTAATGACTGTAAGCTCCGCCTGGTTGTTTGTCTAGTTGGAATTAAGTCTGTGATGTTTTGTGTGCAGACCTGTTTTACTGACTTACTTTTGTGCCGTTGGTTGTTCCTTGCACTCCAACTAAGAAGAAAGGTCCTAATTAGTCGACACCGACAACATGCCTGTTGGGGAAGCAGTGGGTCCTAGTTTTGTCCCCCTCCCCCCCCCCCCTTCCCCACAATGGGACCCCAAAACCCAGAGATCCATCTAGTTAATCCACATATTTTTTTTTTTAAACAGACCCAGACTTCAACTGTCTTCTGCTCTGGTTTTTCAAATCTATAGTTTCACAGAACTACAGCTGTCATGACCTCCCATTATGTATTATTCTTCCATTTAATCTTGTATCTAAGGTGCTAATGTTTATATAAAACTGACACTTCCCTTTCTGCAACTGCTGATTAACACATGTTCCCAAAACAAACAAGAAACACTGACTAAGGGTTTATGGCTGCCAAAACTTAAACCAGAAAGCCTAGGAACATCGAGAGGCCAGGCCTTGAAAGGGCTGTGTGAGCCTAAGGGGACTTATGTGAAGATATCTAAAAGACATCTAAAAGCAGCGGCTCGCAACCTGCCGGTCGTGACATTTTTTATTAGGTTGAAGACCCTTTTCACAGAGGTCGTCTAAAACCATAGGAAAACATATATTCATTGAAGTAATAATAATAAAGGTAACTAATTGTATGGGAGTCTCCACAACATTAAAGAGCTGTATTAAAGGTTGAGAGCCATTGCTCGACAGCCAAGGAGCAGCAAGAAGTAAACCCAAGACAAGTAACCGACTAGTGTTTTTAACAAATTTACCATCGTGAAAGTCAAATGAAGTCTGTCTTTGAAGTCTGTTATATTCTGGCCGAGAATGAAAGGAGTCCTCCCTTCGCTGACTGGTTCTGTCACTCTGGAAACTATTCTGGCTGGAGGTTTTCTGTGGACAGACATCGCAAATTTCTGAATGTTAGTGCCCCAGCAGTGAAGTGTTCAGATATTTACTAGTTTGAAACAACAATTTTAGATACCCAGATGACCTTTTAGGTGCCAGACAATCTAATCGGGTTGTAAAAGGAGACTAATAAAGGATCTGCTGAAATCAGGTATGTTAGGCTGACATGTGCAAACATCACAGCCTAGCTGTAAACAACAACGTACCAAACGCCCTTTAAGAATGATTCAAAGAAAAGTTCTCTTTCTGATGATATGATTGTTAAATGCGTTAAGGCATCCCACCAAATGTCCGGGGTGTACAACTTGCTTCAGTCACACACAGGAACTTTCTCAGATGACATGATTACTACTTGGTTCCTACAGGAGAGCAATGTTATGTTTATCACAATCGACTTCAATGCACATTGGGCATTCCCATGCGTGCTCATTCCTCAAATGCAGCAGCCACTCCAAAGTACTTCTATTAATTGTTTCCATGAGAAGCTGGTTAATGTTATCACAATCGACTTCACTGCACATCGGGCATTCCCATGCGTGCTCAGTCCTCAAATGCAGCAGCCACTCCAAAGTACTTCTATTAATTGTTTCCATGAGAAGCTGGTTAATGTTATGTTATCACAATCGACTTCACTGCACATTGGGCATTCCCATGCGTGCTCAGTCCTCAAATGCAGCAGCCACTCCAAAGTACTTCTATTAATTGTTTCCATGAGAAGCTGGTTAATGTTATGTTATCGCAATCGACTTCACTGCACATTGGGCATTCCCATGCGTGCTCAGTCCTCAAATGCAGCAGCCACTCAAAAGTACTTATATTAATTGTTCCCATGAGAAGCTGGTTATAATCTCTCCTATCTCGGCCTCGAAGACAGCATAGACGTGCTTCACCTTGTTTTATACCCATGTCATGCAATCGTGTTAAGAGTCAGGGATTACTCATTATCCACTAGCCCAGTTCGTACAGTGTTGACGATACCTCCTTTGTTCGTACAATGTTGACGATACCTCCTCTGTTCATGCTTTTACCCCGCAATCTTTAGTGCAGTGCTTACCAGTTGGTCCGCTGACTCGTTTCCCTTTACGCCCGCATGACCTGGTGTGTAGATCAAGGCAACGGAGGTTAAGTTTAATTTTTGAATGCTTTCTACCCTTTCAGAGCGCATACTGCCTGTTGCTATCTTCTGAAGCATATTCATGGAGTCTGCGACAATTACTGCCTGTGTGGCGGTTTGCTTTGATACTCATGCTAAAGCTCTAGAAGCAGCGGCTATTTCCATGGTCATTCTTGACGTGGTTGTATGGTAACCGCTGCTGTCCTCCTCTATTGTTTTTCCCCTTCTTTGCACTGTATGCCCATGCTGACCTTGATCCGCGCTTCACGGATCCATCTGTGTAGATGATATCTTCTGGGTCTGAATGCTGATCTATCAGTTCCCTTACTTCTGTGTCCAGAAGGAGAGCAGGCAGAGGCTAACAAAAATAAGGGCAAACAATACAGCCATGGTTTATGTAACATATTATTACCTAATATATGTTACAAAATTCTCTTGTAACCATTAACATTGCCTAACAATGCTGTAATACACTACACCACACCAAGTATGATATAATAATGTGATCAGTCTATTGTGGACGAACACAAAGTGACGAACTAGTGATCAATGAATCGCTGCCTGTCTACCACCAGTACTTACACCGGCAGCCTATTCAGACATGGAAGAAAAAATGAAAGTCTACATGTAATGTCTATAGAATATCAGCAGTTTTCTGTTATTTCTGGGATTGCCTCTAAATGGAAAGGTGGTGGGGGGGCTTCCCACTCATTCACATCATGCACAACCTGCAGCAATTTTCTGGATTATGTGAGTCTGATATCAACAAGACACACAGCGAAATACTCACTGTGGAATCCGTAGAAGGAAATTTCAGCCATGGCGGTGCAAAATCTTGTTTAGGGAGATTGCTGTCAGCCATAACTCACTAAACTGTAGTCAAAGACACATTATATGGACCTGTGAGACAAAGAATGTAGAATATATCAAACGTATGACTACAGTAGCAACGACAGTGAAAAGGAGAGAGAGAAGGGGTGTAGAAGAATAAATGGGTGAGGGCAGAAAAGAGCATGAGGGATGGAAGAAACAAGGGTGAGGTGGGAGGCAGATACAGAGAGAGAGAGTGAGAGAGAGAGAGAGAGAGAGAGCAAAAGACACAGTGAAGTCCAGAAGGGAGGAAGAACTGGACCAACAATTTTTTGATTGATTTGTTTTAAAACTACTGGCAATACACTCCTTCGCAACATACATATCAAAAAACCACATCTCCGCGCTCTGTTTAATTTACTGAAAGTGATTCACAGAAATGCAATCAGAAGAGGTACAGCTAAACATGTTTTAAGTTTAAAATAAAATCCACAAATTACACACCACAATTAAAATTACTCACCTTTTTATATATAAATATATATTTTTCAAATCAGTCACAACAGCAGTAGATTCGATGAAATGTATGAGATCCTTAACAAGCTGACAAACAAACTCATCCAGGAATTAAGTTGCTCCCAACAAAACGACGAGATCAAAGGCACTTGAAGGTAACAACTAACAACAATCACGGTGGACTAACTGTACAGAATATTTACAAATAAAACAAGTTTTAACTCTCAAACTGCATTGTTACATGCCTAAGACCAACTCCTTGCTACGACATGCCACTCATTTCTAATACACCATTACTATTATTCCAAAAGGATAGGCGGTATCAAAGATAACAATGAATGAGTGTGCTTTCTTCCATTCATAGGTTTACTACTGCAATAAAGATATAAACTTATTCAGTAATGCCACGATGAGAGGTTACTCCTGACTTGCACAACTGCAAGACATCCTGAAATTCACTCCTCCTTATGACATTATGTTGCCATAAATGACGTATGCAAACACATCAAAGTAACATCTGACGCATGCCGGTGACAATTTTGCTCCTGTTTGCATTTAACAGTACGTAAAATGTTCCTCAGAAAACACTGAAAATATCATGTGTTGAATATTGTGGCTCTTTCTGGGTAAACAGGTGGAGAGATTTTGGGAGCTCAACCTTGAATGTCAATTTTGTAAGTCCATGAAGATGAACGACTAGTTAGCCAATCTGGATTTGAATAGACAAAGGCAAAGAGTTTATAAAGACATAAACATCGTGATTATGTGCAGTTACAAATCAAATCCAAAACAGCAATTAAGTGGGTGGTATGCTCAACTGTATATTCACAAAAATATGATACATGTCACAGAAACAAAAACAATCAAACACAGGTTATAAATACAGGTTATGGTCAGATAAGGCATTTACTATTTTTTAAAAAGAGACAAGTGAAATATACTGGCATTAAAAGACATGGTAATGCACTTTTTACAACCATACCACAGGGAAAGAGCAAGGGGTAGACAATAATGCATGTGGGAGGACAAGATCAACATATGGACAAACAGTAGCCAAAAGAGTGTACAAACAAGACAAGAGATAGTGTGTAAAAAATCTAATGTAGCCACCCTTCGTTGTGGAGATGACACCTGACTGCTTGTCAGATTGAAGCTCAACTGACATACATATGTGATTATTAATCTCCCTCTAACAGGCTGATTAATAATGATTTTTGATTCGTTACTATAGCATACGCAAATGCTACATTCTCTAAATCATAAATGTCCAGTAGAAAATACCTTCATCAGGTGTAGATGTTCAGCGGACTGTTCCGGTAGCAGTGTTTGTACACATTTTATCATCTTTCTCTCATATGTCCTTCCCTCACCCCCTCCCTGATTACAAATTCATATATCCTTTCACTTGTTTCTCTATCATTTCATCCTATCTTAAATCAGCTAGGTTCATGTTCAGTAATGGTCTTCGGAATGTCTCCCCTGTTAAGTGTTTCTGTAGCTATTGAATTCAGCCAATGAAGAACCACACAAAATCACCAATGGCTTCTGGATATGATATACTGTACTTGTTTTAGTTTGTAGTTACATGCGAAGCAATTAGAAATTTCTGATGATGGCAGGGCATCTGCTACTTTAAGGAAGTTGATGATTTTGGACAGACTCCGTCACCTTCTAAAGGCTAATCTTTTGTGATTGTCCTCTGATCTGTCTGTCATACTTCTTAGAAACTAAGATTGTTAAAAGATATAGGCTATCCTCCGTATAACGGCCACATATTATAGCAGCCAAAAAACACATCTGAAAGGGCCTAAATCACAAGTAAATTGCGGATATCTTTTCAGAGAATTTACTGCGGGGTTGATGTCGCGAAACACGACAAAAGTGGGATAAATTTCCAACAATGATGTCACAAAACATCAAGTTAATCTCACCACCAAGAGTTTCCTACGTGCTGCATGGAGGGGGGGGGGGGGGGGGGGGGGGCTTAACTAACCAGATGACTAGGACTCCATGCAGCAGCTACTGCATTTCATGCAGCTCTCTTATTTTATTTGCCCATGAGTTCCAGCCATCTGGTTTAGCCCCCACCTGCTTCGCACGTAGCGAAGGGGGGGAGAGAGATACTCTCGGCAGTGGTGGGATGTTCGCTGGAAAGAAGTCTACAATTTACACGTGAGTGGCGACCCGTTAGGCTATGTTCTTGGCCAGCATAACTTATGTGCCATAATTTTCAGATATAAATGCATCAATTATCGGTAAGTAGTCAATTTCATTTTCCCTTTTTTCGTACCTTATAATTTTTTGAATGTTTGCAACACATGACCTACTGAGGCCCAGCCATGGCTTTTTTTTTTTTTTGCAGCCATAATATGTGGCCATGTTCAGAGACTAGCCTAAATATATTTGGCTATCTTCTGAATGAAGGTCCAAAATTATCGAGGCCAAAAATACACCCTAACAGGGCCAAAGTCACGTGTCAATTGCGGACTTTCGCCACCGGCATGAGTATCTCCCACAGCCCTACGCGCGGCGTGGTTTGGGGCTTAACTAGGAGGCTAGGACTCGGAGCAAATAAAATGAAGGAAGCTGCAGGAGATGCGGTAGCTGCTGCTCGTGAGTCCCAGCCATCTAGTTTAGCCCCAATCCACGCCATGCGAAGCGGCATGGGAGATACTCTCAGCGGTGGCACCCGGAAGTGCGCAATATAAGGCGCCCGCAAATGACACGGGACTGAGGCCCTGTTAGGGTATATTATCGGCCCCAATAGTTTGGGACTGTTGTTCGGTAGAAAACCATATATTATTAGGACCATGGAATTATAAATAAAACATGCTGAAATATATTTCAAATGTTTAAAAAAAACTTAGTATTTATGTCTATGTCCTGGAGTCTAGTACCTGCTCCTGCTGTAGTCAAGATTTATTTGCATTTACCAGCTGCTGTACTGTAATCCCCGGCAAAATGTCTGGTATGTTCGTGCAATCCACAAGATTTGTAAAAAATAAAATAAAATGGATAAAATTGTATGCAGACTGCTGATTACTTGCCTCTCACGTAGATGTAGTCTGAATTCAAAGAATTAACTAGTTTTAGTCAACTCCTTCTATATGCTGGTTAACTGTTGAAGAGTTGACAGTTGTGGGGAGGGGTGTCTATCTAATCGTGTTTCCCCCCACAAGCAGCAATGGGGCAACAGAACTCACACAGCGGAAGTAAAGATTTAACTTTAACTAAACGTTGAGATCTATTTTAGCATCATCATTTATAAACTAAATGTATTTGATGTCACCGCTATTATTATTATTATTATTTACTATTTGTGAATGACTAAATGTCTCTCCTTAGCGTGGTGGTAACCCTATACAAACTTAAAATAAAGATACCAATAAATACTTATGGATTTTAGTATTTTAGTCAATATAGTTACAACATATTTTTCTTTACTCTCTTAATGTAGTTATTTTAATGAAAGCACAATGTCAATATATTTAGTTACTAACAGTACGAACGATACATACAAGTTCTGTCAAGTACTGGCCGGCCTACTGCCAGCGAGTTAAGAGAAACAAACAAATCTGACCGCTCAACTATGGTGACGGTTATTTACAACATATCGCCTCCTTTAAGAACACACAATCAAATGTACTCACCCTTTGTGGTTATGATTGGACAATTACAGAAGGCAATTGAAACGACAGTAGTCCAAATTAACAGGCAACGGCCATGTGGTGGTCAAACTAAAATAATTCAATTACTGTGTTTGCGGTTGTTTCCTCTGCTGGGACAAAACAAATTATTTCAATCTCAATTTATCCGGTGCCGCTGTTTTACTTCACAAATAGCTTAACACATAAAACGTATTTGTCACTTTTAAACGATCAGAACATCTGTAGCCGAATGCACTTATATATTTAATATATCACGGCGTAGTGTCGAGTAGAAAAAGAAGAATAAATCAGTGGCGTCTTCTGCATGTCACAAAACAAGATACTGGTCAAGATGGCGCTTCAAACTTCCCACAATGCAACACTATTACTCTCCATGACTTTTGTTTACGCGCTTTTTTCCCTCCTACTTCTCAATAAGACAAAATATTGTACAATACAAAAAAAAATTACCTAACATAATTGTTTGTTTTTTTTTATAATAAAAATAATGCATTTTAAACTTATAAAAACAAGTTTTATTGAAAATTGTTCAAGTTTTTTTATTGGAATACTTCGGGTAATCCCGTAAGGTAAAAAATACCCGTCACGTAAGGGTCGCTGGTGTTGAAGTGAGCCCCGGGTACGTCTTCTTCGCTTCAATGAGCCTGGGTTTAATGGTGCACTGATTTAGGAATCCACATCTTAGCACACCGGCATCTATCAGTTGTTGTACCTCTAATTATGTCCTACCCTTACACTCTACATTCTCTCTCTAAAGTGATAATGGCCTGATGGATCTGCTGTTGTGGGTGTTCGTGTAGACCCATTCTGTCCTCTGTGTATTTGCTTGACGACCGCCTTCTTTAATAGCTCTTCCCTTTTTAGGACG